AACTTCCAGCTGAGAAGGTGGAGAGAACACGGCCTGACGCAGAACCTGAAGAAGAAGCAGGTTCCCGCCAAGAGCAAATCGAAGAAGGACAAAGGTGAACACACACACACACACACACACACACACACACACACACACACACACACACACACACACACACACACACGAAACACACCTACACACACACGAAACACACCTACACACACACGAAACACACCTACACACACACGAAACACACCTACACACACACACACACCTACACACACACAAAACACACCTACACACACCTGAAGCACACCTACACACACACACACACACCTGAAACACACACCTGAAACACACACCTGCACACACCTGAAACACACACCTGCACACACACCTGAAACACACACCTGCACACACACCTACACACACCTGAAACACACACCTACACACACACACTTGCACACACACTTGCACACACACTTGCACACACACCTGAAACACACACTTGCACACACACTTGAAACACACACCTGCACACACACCTGAAACACACACCTGCACACACACCTGAAACACAGCTACACACACCTGAAACACACACCTGCACACACACCTGAAACACAGCTACACACACACACCTGAAACACACACCTGAAACACACCTGCACACACAGCTACACACACACACACCTGAAACACACACTTGAAACACACACTTGCACACACACTTGCACACACACCTGAAAACACACACTTGCACACACACTTGAAACACACACCTGCACACACACCTGAAACACACACCTGCACACACACCTGAAACACAGCTACACACACCTGAAACACACACCTGCACACACACCTGAAACACAGCTACACACACACACCTGAAACACACACCTGAAACACACCTGCACACACAGCTACACACACACACACCTGAAACACACACCTACACACACACTTGAAACACACACCTGCACACACACCTGAAACACACACTTGCACACACACTTGCACACACACTTGAAACACACACCTGCACACACACCTGAAACACACACCTGCACACACACCTGAAACATAGCTACACACACACCTACACACACCTGAAACACACACCTGCACACACACCTGAAACACACACCTGAAACACAGCTACACACACACCTGAAACACACCTGCACACACAGCTACACACACACACCTGAAACACACACCTACACACACACTTGAAACACACACCTGCACACACACCTGCACACACACCTACACACACACACACCTGAAACACACACCTGAAACACAGCTACACACACACACACCTGAAACACACACCTGAAACACACCTGCACACACAGCTACACACACACACTTGAAACACACACCTACACACACACTTGAAACACACACCTGCACACACACCTACACACACACACCTGAAACACACACCTACACACACACTTGAAACACACACCTGCACACACACCTACACACACACACCTGAAACACACAGCTACACACACACACCTACACACACTTGCACAGACACCTGAACACACCTACACACACCCCTGCACACACTTGCACAAACACCTGAACACACCTACACACACACACACCTACACACACCTACACACACCCCTGCACATCAGTGTGTTCCTCTGCACTGGATATGAAAACAAGCGGTAAAATCACAGACAAAATAAAAGCAGGATACTGGGAAGAAAATCTAAGAACTGAAACCCAAACAAAAGAAAAACAGCGCTATTATAAATAAATATAAATTTAGATAATTAAGGTGATTAAAAAGACAACGTCACATACAAAAATAGTCTATATAAATAGGTTTTTAAAAAGTAATAAGTGAGGGATTTAATGATTATTTCCCCATTGAATGTGTCCATGCTTACGTTAACACGGTTCATTGATAAAATGACACTAATGGAAATTCTTCTTCTCTCTTTTTAGCCAACGGAGTAAACGGAGTGAACACCAACGGAGCGGATTCACCGAGAGCGAAGAAGGAGAAGTCGTCATAAATTCATTCATTCACCTCCACCCCCCGCAAATCCCCCACAATGCATTTCCAGCGCGCCGTTATTTCAGGCGTCGCCGCTCTCCTGTGCCATTTCATATGAAAACAAATTCTGAAATAAACTACGAGTAAAAAAAAAAGAGCTTATTTAAGAAGTGCCTATTGAGACAGAGTGTTTTGTACAGGGTGTGTAATTTTAAAAATTCAGGAATGATGTGTTAAATGTCCCCCCCCCACCCATATAATTTCATGCTTAATCGTCCAAAATAATGTGTATTCAGCCTGTGATTTATCCCACTTCATTTTGTATTTATACCCGCAAGCCAAGCGCCTCTGTAAACATTGTTTAGTTGATGAATTTCTAAATAATAACCTTTATTTTTCCACAAGGTTACACACAATCTGTTTACACCACAGACTCTCAGAAAAGACCGTTTTTAACATGTCAGTGGCCAAAATCATGGGGAAATAAAGTATAGAGACGAATATACAAAAGACATTCCCGCTGTTATCACATTCACAGTTCAGTATTTCTGCAAAGTATCCTGATGTAGCATTGACTTTTTGCAGCTTTAAGATAATCCCTTACCATTAAATGACACTGTCGATACACGAGCACACTTTCTGGTTTATTTGTGAGTGATTTAACATCATGTTATAGTTTTAAATTCGGGCATTACCACCCCTTTAGTGTGTTTGATTTGTACGGTTCTTGCTGTCTAAATGGATTTCCTGTTTATCATGTGTTGGCCTTATTGCTTTTCTTTTACCACGTTCAGCTCCTTTCCCCCCCGCTGTAGACCGTGCCAAATGAGCCTGATTGGCGTATGATGTATGCCGTTCACTCTCACTTGCCATAACATAAATCATGATGGTAACACAGGTTTATTTCTCCAGAATAAACCCATTACCTAATTGTGAGTCCACTTCAGCAGTGCTTTTATCAACTGGTCCTGATGGTTTGTCTATCATACAGAGGAATAAAATGTTTTATTGAATAAAGAACAGCTGTGTGTTTCTTATATAAACTAGTATCACAAAATGTCATAAACTATCATTTACTACTGTCTTTACTGTGTTAAAAAAGTAAGTAATATTCTTATTTTTAATTTTTTTTTAAATTTAAACTACTGTTATGTATTGTATAATTCCTACATTATTATTTTTACATCGTTTTTATTTCATTTTGTACATATTTCTCTATGTTTATATATTTTTTTTAATCGGAGTGTCACAAGTATTTATATCCGTGTGGAAACCACCCTGTTGTAATTGCGCCTGTCCGCCACCAGGTGTCGCTGTTGCTCGTGTTTTTAATGAGGAACGCTTCACTGGTGATTCATGGACAGTTACCACACAGTCAATCAGATAACTAAGATTATTAGTAATAATTCCTAGAATTTTAACATTTGATTCCTTTCTTAAAAATATATTAATTATAAATAATAAAATATAAAAATGTTATATATAAACAGGGATATATTGACATAAGAAATTGAGAAAATAAGATGGAAAATAAAACACTTATTAACAATAAGGATCAAACAAAACAAAAATAATTCATGGTAATTAACGAGGTTAGAGTAAAGTGTTAAATAATTAGAAAATAAGAAAATGATTACAAATTATTACATAGAATGATAACTTAAAATAAAGAATGTGCAAAAAAATGATAGATATTTAAGTAAACATACTGTAAGAATTTATAGAACAATGTCTAATAAAACATTACAAATAATATAAAAATAAAATAGAGCGCAAGTATTTTTATTTACATAAGCAGTTAAAGTAGACATGTACTTGTACTTCAATATATAACATGTATTACAATATATACGGTAATAATGTTGAATTTCAAAGTTTAAAAGGGTCTATTTTTAGGTTTATATACATTTTTAAGAACGTACATCCCTGCTTGATTTATTGCAACACTTCTCCTTGTATCACCTGAGTTATACTGAGTTTTCACCACAACATGCACTTAAAATATTACATTAAAAGTGTGCAGATGCATGTAAGATATCAGGTTAATGTTAATTGGCACAGTTTTAAATGGGTTGTTTTCAATATATTGTTATGTTTATATAAATCCTAATTCCTTAAATGTGCATCCAGCATTCCCACTGGTGTAAGTTTGAAGTATTGCAACACTTTTCCTTTTATAACCTGAGTTTTTATGGGGGTTTTTTCTGCACTGAAAACCTCCACTTAAGTGAGTGTGAAAGGAACAGTGTTCAGATGCAGGGTCAGATATGAGGCATCACAATAACATGTGCTGGAGAAATCATCTGTGGGTGTTTGCACCTGCTACATCTGACCACTGTATATGGATTTCAATGACTACTTTTTTTACGATGTTGTATTTTAGTGTTGCCTCTGTGTTTAGTGTCCTGTCTGTCTGTAACTTTGTGTGGTAGTGTTACCACTGAACAGGTCTCTTGAAAATGAGACCTTGTGTCTCAATGAGATTTTACACCTGTATAAATAAAGGCTAAATAAAAAAATACAAATGTGGAGTATTAGTATTAATAAGACAATAATGTTGAATAGCACAGGTTTATATAAATCCTAAAACCTTAAATGTGCATCCATGTTAGTAAGCAGTATTCCCATTGGTGTACATTTGATGTATTACAACACTTTTCCTTTGTAACCTGAGTTTTTATGGGGTTTATTTTGTACTTTAGTATTAATAAGACATCAATGTTGAATGGCACAGTTTTGAAAGGGTTTGATTTAAACCCTAAAACCTTAAATGTGCATCCATGTTAGTAAGCAGTATTCCCACTGGTGTGAGTTTGGTGTATTGCAACACCTTTCCTTGTATAACCGTAAGAGTTTGGATGTTTTTTTGTGTTTTTTTTGCTCCACAACAACATGCACTTAAAGGCTGGGGAAAGTGTGCAGATGCTTGCTGCTGAACAGCATCGTGTCACCCAGGTGGATGTACGTATGGAGCCCCGTGATGCGGTGTGGGGGAGGATGATAAACACTCGCTCCGCACAGCAGGAGGAACATGGCGGCACAGTCAGCCAGCACAAATGTTGTTTCACTACCACGAAGGTCAGAGAAGCTTCTGAAAACCAGGATTTAACACCGACGACAGGGAACCAACTCTCTCACCGTGAGTACCCTCATGTGTTGGGGTTCGTGTTGCAGGGGAACCGGGTGTTTCGACGGTGTGAATCCGATGCAAAGGGCTTCAATCTCGGCTGTGTGTCTGTCTGGCTTCGGCGTTAGCATGTTAGCTCCTCGGCTAAGTCAATAGTGTTTTCTGCAGGAATTACACAGAGAGCCTGCGAGCCACTTATTGCACTGTTTGTCAGCCGGTTAAACTCAACAATAAGACGTGTATGGACATTTTAAAGTGAGCTATTCGTGTACATTTGTTTCATATGTGGTTGTTTTTTTTTGCTGAGTGACCGTGCACACAACACCGGACGAAGTTGGCATGCTAACAGTTAGCTTTAGTCTGTCGTTGTCAGAAATAAGAGAGGCAGAAGACTCCTCTCTGCTCTCCATGTGTGTTTTCAGCTGTTTCTGTGGTTGTTGAGCTCGTATCCAACATGCTTCTTCTCCCTGTGTATGTGGAGGAAATGTCTGCAGGGTGCATAGAGCTTTTTTTCTGCTGAACTAATGTTTCTCTCATGTGTTTGCATTGTGGAGCTGCTGCTGCACCACCAGGCTAGTTAGCACCAGAGCTATACCGGGGGCAAAGTGTCCAGAAAGTTGGGCATAGACTGAAGAAGAAGCGGGGAAGAGGGGAACAGTGCTGCTTTCTTTGTGTGTTTGTACCACAATCAGCTGGTCCCATGGTACTTTTACGTGATTAAGGAAATGATAGCGGTTTTTAAGATGTGTGTGCATGATCCAAAAGCGTGGAAAATGAAAACAATGCAGTTTTTTAAAACATCAACACGTATATTTATGCGATCACAACACAAGTCTCATGCTTCCTTTTTGAAGGTTTTAGTACATTTGAGCTGCTCTGTGCAGGGTGTGCATGCTCCAGTGTGGCTTTGTTGTGCTCGGAGTGCTCTCCTTTTAAGGCTCTCCTGCTCCACTGCTCCAGGACTATACAACTTGTGCCATTTCAGTGATTGTCAGCCTTTCCTCTGGGTGAAGCTGCAGGGAGGCATGCAGCTGAACCAGTCGAGCGGTTTCTGTTGCATCTCTCTGCCCTCCTGATGGTGCACAGCTCTCCTGTCACAACACTCCTCTGAGGTCTAACCTGGCATGTTCTGCACATGTGGCTTGGCTGCAACTTCAGTCGCTCCTGTGAGGATTTGATGGATTTCAGTCCGATCTGACGGGTCGTTAAATGCAAAGTAAACTCTGGAGGAGTTCAACAGAAACAATGACCCTGAGCTAGAGCTGCAGAAACACCTACTAGTTTGATTGTTATTAGGCATTTTACCTTGAAAGAGGGCAGAAAATGCTGTTTCCAGCCTCTCAAATGTACAGTAATGCTGCTTTTTGTGTCTCTATATATCAGAATAAAGTCAATATCTTTGGTTTATGGTTTGGGAAAACAAGACATTTGCAGGCGTCGTCTTGTACTTGGACATTTCCCCATATTTTCTGAGTTTTTATCAATCAAACCACAAGCATTTTCTGGCATTTTTGTACGAAAAACAACTTAAACTATTAATTTAATATCGAAATAGTTGGCGTTTATTTTTTCTGTGGCCTTCTCCTTGCTGCTCGTCATGTCGTTTTTTTTTTAATAAAACAGTTTGTCCTTGGATGACGGGAAGTCGGGAGTAAAATATTCCTCCACTATCGACCTTATTTAATTTTTGGGAGTGAGATGAGGACACTCTGCATGCACATGACGCCGGACTGCTTTCTCCTAGATACATTCATGCATTCCTGCAGTATGAAGTCCTCCTTTTGTTATTTTTGGTTATAGCATGCTAGTTTGAATCATAGTCCAGTGTTTCCCCCTTTAACTGTCGCTCTGATAGTCGTGTTTTGTGTCAGTGATGGCGGGATGTTTGTTTTGCATGAGGACACCTGAGGAATTCATGCGAGCACGTGGATGTTTATACAGGGAACTTGGCAGCTTTTCTGTGTGAAGTTGCTTCGCCCTGCACACATTGTAAACTACAGCCACAGGTGTGTGTGATACCTGTCAGAAAAACAATCTCTCCTTCACACAGCCTGTAATTTCCCTCTCACACACACACCTCGCTGTGTATTGTTGTGTGGCTCTTTGTGCAAGCCGTGTTCAATCGTAAATCAAAGCTGTGTTTTCTCGTGGACACAAACGGCCCGTCTTGTAATCGCTGACTTTTGCCCTGTGACAGTGTCTTTGTTGCGTCACCTCCGTGATACTGTAATCATCTGACCCTTGTTCTGTAACCAGCGCTCTGCTGTTCTCTCTCTCTCTGTGTCGCTGGCAAAATGAGGCTCTGAAGCTCCACTAAAATGCAGAATTAAAACACATTTTATGTATTTATGTCTCATAGAAGTGTAACTACATTCATCTGACTCGTCGTTTGATTTATAACATGTAAGAAAATAGTGAAAAATGTCCGTCCCACTGCCTTTAAACTCACCTTTTAAAATGATTAGTCAGTTAATCCATCATCTTCCATTAAGAAACTCAATAAATTGCCTTAAAACGGTCAAATTTGAAGCTAAAATTCCACATTTTCTGGTCGTATAGGACTGAATATATTATATTATATAAGCTACCATTGTGCTGGGCTTATTACATGTGAAATTTCTTATTTAACCCTTATGTTGTGTTCGGGTGACCCGTTTCAAGTTAAAATTATATAATAACTACGCTCTAGTTTTTTTTTATCGGAACAAGGCTTCATGATATCCTCCACAACAGATATATAAACACTACAAAACTGATTTTGACCATTTTAGCCAAGTCTGAAGGTCTCTAAAAAAAAAAAGTGTATAATTTGGTGTTGGGGTCTGGGGAGAGCCAGCAGAATGTTGTGGGTGACTCGAGGTCAAATTTGGCCCAATCAAGATTCATCTTTGACTTTAGACACCCCTCCCCCACCCCCTTCATCCACTGTAACAATCGTTTTTAGCAACATGCACCTGGTCTCCCCTCCCTCTGGCCCCCTCCCCCCACGGGAACTCAACCTTTCTCAAAGAATATGTGCACACTTGAACCTGAACCTGAACACACACATGCACGTGTGCAATATGTGGTGTAATGTGTTTTGGGCCATAACATTAAATGACAACAGGATTGTACGGTTATGAATGCATAATAAGTTAGTTATGATGTAGTTAAAACAATATTAGATGATAGTCATATTTTGTGTGTGTTTTGGACTGAGATAAATCATGGGTCAAAACTGACCCGCTAACAGCTTTTCGAACACAACACAAGGGTTAAACCCAGTTTTTCTAAATGGGTCATGTTGGAGAAATCCTTGACGCATGTAAGACCAATCTGAAGAACATTTTTATTATTTTATTATCCTCTTGTTCTTGCATATCAGATGAAAACAAAGCAAGCAATCTGTAAATAATTTTTGAAGACAGGGTGATAAGTGAATAAACTATTTGGTTATTTATAATGTAACTTACAAAATCAGGACCCGGTCCCAGTAGCTACGACATTCTGAATAAGTTTGACTGTTATGATAGTTGGTAACTTGTGTTAATAATACTCATACTACTAATTAATAATGTTATATAATGTGATATTTGTATTACTCTTTCTTGCTTTAACTTCTGATGTTTGTATCATGTAAAAAATATTTCTTATATATACATATTTCTTTTTAAATAGAGCAATAAAACCCATTTTCCCATCGGATAAAATATTCAGATCGACTGTTTTTAGGTGCATTTGGCCCAGACAAAGTGCATACATGACCCGGATCAGTCTGGATGCATCACGTCTACATTAAATAAATAACCTACATTAATTTACCCCGCACAGTAAGACAGACTGCACGATGTAACACCGGTTAATTAAATACGTTTTTCCTCTCGTTAAGTTCAAAGAGCAACAAAACCCATTTTCCCATGGGATACAGTATTCTGATTTACAGTTTGTGGGTACATTTGGCAGAATAAATGTGCATGTATATGACACGGATTGTCTTCTACGATAACTGCATTAAATAGATAACCTAAATGAATGTAACACGGGGTTAATTTAAGATGTTTTTCCTCTCGTTAAGTTAGTGTGCAACAGATCTGTGTTGTGTAACGTGTCCGTCTCCTCCCGTCTCCTCTGCGTTTGTGCTGTCATGGAAACAGCCGTGTGACAGGTCCGTGGTGGGCGTGAGGGATGAGCTGTGGGGGAAAGGGCCAAGATATTACAGCGAGAGGAGGAGGGAGAGCAGTGTTTCCTCCTCCTCCTCTTCCTCCTCCTCTTCGTCCTCCTCCCTGCCTCCAGGCCTGGTGTCATTGTGTTGTTTAGCTGACCTCAAACCAGCCATCCCATCCCTCTGTGTTGTAAACAGCCGCCTGTACACTGACTGTAGAAACAGGTTATCATTTAAGGACATTACAAAGCTTTATGTATTTATTCAACCACAGACAGGGAAGCCAATCGGCCCCCAAAATTAAATAGACGGTACGCAACTAATACCAGAATCACAAATGCTTTACTCGTCCAATTTACAGAGAAGATACAGTGCAGATAAGAGTCCAAGAAAGTAGATTGATATATCAAATAAAAAGGCATATCACGCTATGAGAATGAAAAACAATAAGCCATTACTGCCATTGCATAAAAAGAGGTAACGGCATATTTAAAAGTGAGAAATGTACTGTGCAGATAAAAGTAAAAACAGCAGACTTATATTTAAAGAAAACAGGCTTATCAGATGCTAATAAGAATTAAAAACAAATAAGCAAACCTACATGGTATACAACGAGGTAACAAGGTCTCAGCATTTAAAAAAGTGAGTCAGTCGAGGCAGTAAAATTAAGTGTTTATTATACGCAGTGGTATTGCACAGCCGTTTCAGACAACAACAAATAGTCACGATTATAATCTGCCACATCTCAAAGTTTATTATCTTAATGCTCGAACAGAAGACCCTCTGCTCTCAATTAGCTTCTTAGCCTATTTAAAGTCACTGTGCGATGGCCTTTTAAAAGCATTACTGTGTTTATATGATATCAAAACGT